TGGTTAGGGGGTCGCCCCTCTTCGTTCGTGTGGCAACAGGGCCCAGCTTCCCGAAGTATCAGCCGAGCCGAACGTGTTGAGCAAGAATACCCCCTCAACCCTGCTCTGGCTTGGTTTTGCGGCGTGCACCCCGGGCACTCCAGCAGGAGACCTCTAGGTGAACGCATCCTTGCCTACCTCGACGATGTCACCATCTTCGCGTCGCTTCAACGAGCACTGCACCTGGTCCTGGTCCGGCGCTTTAAGTCCCACCCGGCGCGCGCCAATGCGATCCAATGCGTCTAAATGCCGCCAAGACGGCTCTTCGGCATCAGGCAGAAACAAACCGGGGCGTGGTGTTGCTTGCCACTCCCTTGGATTCGCCGGAATTCATCGCCAGTCACCTCCATTTTTTGAATGCACGACACAAGCAACGCTTGCAAGTGTTGCCGCAAATTGGTGACAGGCAGGCCGCATGCCTGTAGCTTTTATACACCGCGGCCCATCGAGCCCAGTTTGCATTGCGGACGCTTGCACCCAAGCTCACACGTTAATTTGCCGTTGCACGTGGTGCGGCCGTGCTCCACACCAAAGCATCGCTTTGCTTTTGCCTCCCATGTTGCACAGCTAGCTGTGCAGCGGCCTTGGCCTGCGTAGTACCGCGTTGCACGTGCCAGCTGCTTTGTCGTGGGCTAGCTCATTCATTGTTCTGTCCGTTCGGGATGCACCCTTCCTGCAAGGTTTGGCACGGGTGTTGCTGCCTAGTAGTTCTCTGCATCGAGGTGCTGGGGTGCTGAAGCTGCCAACTTCGTCCGGTTGTTGGCTCCTGTTGGCTCGAGCACGCATTGCCCTCCTTTTGCAGCATGCGGCGACAGTCGTTGAGCGATGGTCGGGGTTGTTGTCGGTCACCGCAGCTATGTCCTTTGCCACCAGCTTGCCTCCTTTGCTCAGCGACGTCCTCCCTGACTCCGTCGACTCACCTCCGCTTGCCTCCCGCCTTGCGCAGTGCGTGTGTGAGCTCTGCGCCGACAGAGCAATTGTTGCACCGGGACCGCGTAGATGTTTGCAAAAGGCGACTGGTATTTGCCGCCGGCGGACCAACAAGGCGTCGTCGTGCTTGGCAATGCTTGAGACATTTTTCACTCAAGCGCACCAAAATGCGCCGAACACGAGTGCCTACTCGGCCGCATCCCTGCGAATGACGATCGACCTGTAGGCCGTTTGGCTGATCCTCGTGCGTGTCCGCGAGACAGCTACCTTTTAAAACTTGCTCTGCCGCCGGCCGCGACCTTCCCACTTCGCCGAGGAATGATGCCGCTATTGGCCGCTGCCAGGCCACTCTCCCGTGCCTTGCGGATGCCCCGCTGCCGTACGTGCCCCCCATCTGCCCTTGCAGTTTTGTGGCCTCGGCATGCGGCAAGCTCCAGCAGACAGGCATGCAGCTTATTGGGCCTCTTGGTACGGCACTCTCCCAGAGCTTCCCTCCACGAGCCTGATGCAGGAAGGGTCCCTTCCGTTGGTGCAGCTGCTGTACAGGCCGCCAGCCACCTTGCACCACAGGGTTTCCGTGGCCCGCCCGGGCAGGAAGCCTTCCAAGCTGCCCCGGTCTACTTGGGCGGCTGGCAACGCCGTGCTGCCCGAGCTTGCAACAACGCGGCGCTTGAGACGCACCTTTGTGATCTTCCACCTACGTCTCGCTCCTCGTTGCTTTCCCGGGCCGGGCCGCATGCTGCCCCTGCCTACGGCCGAGGACTTCACCATCTCCGGCCCCCTGTTCCGCGTTCTCCTGCTCCGTCGCTTGGGTTTTCCTTTGCCACTCGCACTTGCAGCTGCCACCGCGGCCTTGATGCACTCGGAGACCACCGCGCGTGTCGGGGCCCGCGTCGCCCGCAGTGTCCGCGTCGATGACATGGGCATTGATGTCCCAGTCAGCGATGCTCGGCCATCGAGGTAGTGTTGGCTCGCCGTCGATGCAACTATCGTGTTCCCCCTCACACGTGATGGCCTGCCGGTGCAATAACTGAAGCCGCTAGTACTCTGAACCCGCTGATCTTCTTGTTTTCATGTTGTTCAACTGTTCTCCTTCTAATGAGCACACTCCCAATCGGTCTTCTCTCTCCCGAACTTTCGCTGTCACCAATCTTTTTTACGGTTGCGTGACTAGCGGAGTAGTTTCATCTGACATGATGTGTACGGCCTGAAGCGCAGCTGCATCTTGTGCTGTGTTTGACAAGAGATGCTCCTTGGAGCTTCCACCTTTCGGTGCAATAACTGGAGCCGCTGATATCTTGAGGCTCCAGAGCTTTGGTTACCCCACTTAGGGCCGCATCCTGGTGCTGCTGCTTTAACTTTTCTTTTGATTAAGTAATCGACAGCACCTCCAAATGGAGCACGCAACAAGCGATCCGCCTTCTCTCTCCCGAGCTATCGCCGTCACCAATCCTGCGTAGGGGTTGCGTGAGTGGTGTGCTGTTCGCGTGGGATGCCTGGCTGCCGGGGATCGCATTGGACTGGCAAGGGCCATCTGCTCAGCCAGTCTCTGACTTGCAGATGGCAAATCCTCGCCCTTCCTGTGAGTGTGCCTACTGAGTCCGGTTGCGGTAGGCTAGGCCTTCGACCCAGCACATTGGCCGACCTCGCAAGAAAAAAAAAAGCCTCACCCCAGCGCCGATGTTCAGCCTGGCTTCTTGCTCTCCCACGCAGAGTGAAGGTAAAAGACGGGAAAGTTTTACCTTAGGGGGTGACCTGGTCCGCCTCTGGTCGTACAGAGAGCCGCGGGCCGCAGGCTTCAGGCTGGACGCGTCGCTGGTGGGGCATGCTGTGTGTCGCAGTGCAGCAGGCGGTTGCCAGCACTGCCTTGGGTCAGCCATGGCCCCAACCACTGCATGCTACCAGCATCGCAGGTCCACCGGTCGACCGCACTATCGACCTCGCCACGGCCGATGGACCGAGCCGCCTGCCCTCTGCGACCCCGGTTTTTTGTCCTCACGGACTTTTCCTCGCTGCTGAAGCTGTCTCAAGCACCGACCACCTTACAAGGATCTTCCGGTCTACGGCCCATCAGCGCGTCGGCAAGCGACTGCGTCCAGCCGGGTCCGCCAGGTCCAGGACGCGGTCCAAGTCTCGGCCGTCCGGTTGGCGTGGCTGCAAGGGAGCAGGCCACGCCTGTCCCAGAGCAGTGCTGGCCACGGCTTGCTGCACCGCCACTGACAGTTGGCACCACCACCGCCGCGTCCAGGCCGCTCGCGCCAACGCTGGCGGGGCGGTTGTAGCAGCAGAGCAAAGGCCGTATCTTCCGTAGGCCCAGAGACCTGACACGAAGTGGGCAGGAGCAAAAAAACGTGTTAAAAAAAAGAAAAGCTTTACCCGGAGCTGCTCCGTGGACGCCGTTGCCGACTCGTTGTGTTCGGCACAGAAACAGGGGGGCGTTGGTGAGAAAACAAAACTTCCCCACACACACCTTTTTGCTGTCCACGCGGTCCCTGTGCTGGTCGCCCGAAACCAAAGCCAGACTACGTAGGCATGATTAGGCATGTCAGGGCATGCGGCTGGCAAGAGGAGGGGAGGCGGATATGGTGTGCTGCCACTGTTTGAATGGCTGGTTTGATGGGCTGTAATGCAGCGGAGGTGCGTCTCGAGTGGGCGCACGTGGAATCGAGCGTCTGGACGAGGAATGGCTGGTGTTGATGTGCTGTCATGCCACTGCGTGCGTCTCGAGGGGGCACTTGTGGAATCGAGCGTCTAAATGGGGAATGGCTGGTTGGATGTGGTGTGCTGCCATATGGTGCTTCTGGAATCGGGTGTCTAGCTGGGAAATTGCTGGCTGCCACTGATGTGCGTCTCGAGCGGCTTGTGGACAGAGCTAGTCAAATGGCCCTGCGGGACTAGAGTCCAGCTCATGCAAGCAGTCTCAGTCACACTTTTCAGCGCGCATTGACACGCATTTTATACACCGGGGGGGGGAGCCTGCTCGCAGTAGACCGTTGCAAGGTGGTCGCGGCTTGAGACCGCTTCAGCAGGGAGGATATTTATAAGTCCGTGAAGAAGAAGAAAAACATTGAACATAGGGCCTAGGACATAAGGACAGAGAACGGCCTACATGGGCAATGGCTGGTTTGGGCACTGATGTATGTATCGCGGGCATGCTTGTGAAATCGAGCGTTCTGATGAATGTGTGGTGCGTGTGCTTGGGAACCGAGCGTTTACATGGGGATTGGATTAGCTGGATTCATGCAGTGATAAAAAGCCGCGTCTACTTGGCGATACTTGGCGATTCGGTGCAAGAATGTGCTCTCGAATGCAATGAAACGTCCCTGCATGTGCTGGACCTCGCGATTGCGAGCGCCCCCCAGTCGGCTGCCGCTTAACCTTCCACAACAGGACGGGACACTGTGTGCGGACGCAAAAGGGTGCGGAAAAAAATGTGAAGCCCCAGCCTCCCTTGGGAAACCAGGTCGCGCCATCGTTCCTCAGCGTGCACTTGCAAGAGGTTGCCGCGAAGCGGGAACGCGGGTGACATGAACCGTGATGTGCCCGTGGATGTGGCCTGCCATTTTGGCATGCAGGCGCCAGCGCCGACAACACTACCGGGGCACCCGAATCCTCCGATTTCGTCCGCTTGTTGCTGCAACCGTGCCTGCCCTCCTCAGCCTCCAGCCGCTTGGTGGAGCAGCATCATGGCCGTCGCTGACCAGCACACACTGGCCGCCCCTATGTTGCCATTGCGGTTGTGGGCGTGCAAAGCCCGCTTTGCGCGCGCTTTTGGCGGACGTGCGCTCGCAAGAAGCGACAGAACGCAGTCGCATGACCGGCCGTGCTGCGTGAAGGGGGGCGACGCGCTTGCGTGGCGAGCCCGATGTCCGCTGACGCATGATCGGACAGTCGGAACATAGGAACGACAAAAACGCAATGTTGAACAGCCGTCGATTGCTTTGATGCTCGGCATCGATCGAAATTTGCTGCCAAGGTCCAAATCTCCCAACTGGTGCAAAGAAATCAACGAGACCCAAAAGTTTGGGGCAATGTGCTGGATCAAGCGCTCGTTGTGCTGCTCGGCTGCATTGGCAAGTAAGAGTTCGCGAGCAAACAAGAGCGAAAAGCAAGCCGCGCAAAAGCCTTCTGCAGACGAAAAAATGTCACGAGAGTAACCGAGCAGGTGAAGGCGAACCATCAATTTTGAATTGAAGCAGCGGCGTCTGGCATGTTTCAATTTAGGCATGCAGAGCTTTCACCTCACGACATGGCCAGCATTCTCTGGTCAATGTCGAAAGCTCGCTTCCATCACGAAGCATTGGTCGAGGAGTTCGCGCGCACGTTGTCCTTTCGAGCAGGTGTGAAATCTATCGTGACCGCCATGCTGGCATTGGACCGGCTAGGTTTGCCCACTGAGTCTCTCCGGGCTCCGTTTCTTCAACAACTGAGTGGGCAGTGCCAACAGCTCAGTTTTGGGGATTTGAGGCGGGTCCTCATGGCACTGGCACGGTGCTGGAAGCAAGCTGCTGTCCAACAAGATCTGCTACACGAGATTTGCAATGCTACCGCTGATAAAGCCGTCGGCTGCGACCCACGTGATTTGGTAGCTATGCCACAGCACTTGGGCCGCTTGAGGTTCTTGCACAAGCCGCTGTTATTGGTTTCGGTTGATGCTGTGTCCAAGCTGGTCACTTCGCGACTGAGGGTCCTACCTTTGGATATTCTGCGGGCTATGGACGGGTTGCTGTTAATAGCTTCACTTCTCGAAGGGGAGGCAGCCCGAGGTCAGACATTGGAGCTTGTACGCAAGTGTCAATTATTCGGTGGCCAGCAGCTGAAGAAATCAAGGCCGTCAGAGCTTTGGAGCGTCGGATCGCAACTCCTCGGTGCCGAAATCATAAATTCGAGGGTCTGGGCTCTTTGGGTTTCGGAGATGATCGAGCATTTGCCAGAAGCCAGCCGTGCCAGCGGAATTTCATTGCTGCGACAAAAAATGGTACGCAAATGGGCTTTAGATCGATTCCCGGACGGATTGGAACAAGCCCTTCGAATTGCGCTACGACCTCCCCCAAGCGCCGAACAAAAGTGACAGGTGCAGGTTGTGCATGCTTCTTCATTCAGCAACCCTTGCCAACCACAGCCAACCAGGTGCTGCTAAGCGCTGTGCAAGTCCTTGGACGCAGACCTCTTTGGGAATGAGTGCTTGCGTAAATTTCAACAAAGGCTGGCATGTGCATGTGTTCTATCTGCTCGCCCTGGCTGCCTGGAGGAGGTCTTCCGATGGCAGCGACAGCATGAGTACGATTGAAATTGCCGGCATGGTTTGCATATATATATATATATATACATACACATATTATATACATATATACATATATACATATATACATATATACATATATACATATATACATATGTATTTATTTACTTATAACATGTACCGATAGAAGAAGAAGTAGTAGAAGCAAGTACTCAACCCGACCACAAATCCAGAGATCGACAGCACAGCATGCCCAAAAAGCAGCCGGTATGCTTTTTCATTGACCAACATGTTGCATATAGCATCATACAGCCGCACGGCTTCGGGCTGCCTTCCTGCCGACGGCGCATTCCCTCATGGAAGTCCCGGCAGTGCTGCAACCGGGAGACGCTCAGAAGGCAACGACGATCCAACACTGACGTGTTCATATTCTCGTGTCTTGTGCGCAAATCAGCAAAAAAAACATATCTGAGGACAGGGAGGATGCGATCGGGCGCGTGTTGGCGGCAAGGTTCCTTTTTGTCTACGGATGTTCGGACAGAGAAGCCGCACCTAGACAGACAGACAGACAGCAACCTGGAAGGTGAGGTCCACGAATTCTACAATGTCATACCTTTGGTCATTTGAAATCTGAAGGAGACGCCGTAACGGGTGTGGAATCTCAAGGTGTGCTGTGCTGGGCCCTTGGGCCGCCCAACATGAATCGATGTGAATCGCAATTGCGCATCGCTCAAGTCTCGAGTGACCTTCTGATAATATCTGGTGATTGCAACGCCATACAGGTAGAGAGGCATTGCACCACACACACACAACATTCAAGTAGAGGGTTTTCCGCAAGTTTCAATGCCTTTCACACATCGTTCACACGACTGACGAGCAGGTACCCTTCCGGCGCGCTCTTGGGTGACAACTCGGTCATCCGTCCATCTCCGCCGGATGCCTTGCAGAGGTCAGTCGCTGGCAGATGCTGAAGTTGCCTGAATCCAGGAATGTTTAGTCAGTTGAGCAGAGAGCTAATTGACACTTTCAGAGCGCCATGATTTCTTGAAGCTCGTTGCAGGTATCGCAGCCTGGCAAACCAGATTCATCCAGAACGCTGTGTGGACCCACGAGCCGAGAAGGCCTTCGTGCGTGCATCTCAAGCTTTTGCTTGCAGCTCAGGTTGCTCCGGCTAGCGCGTGCTCTAGCAGTTCACCTGTCGCCGTTCGCCGGCGCATTAAGTCTAAGGATGTGCTGTGCGAGATGGACTCCGACCCTGACAACTCGCCCAATTTCGCCGCATGGGAGGCACGTACTGTGCAGAGATGAGATGCTGACAGAGACTGTTCCACAGCTTGCTGTTCATTAGAGTCTTCAGTTCATGTGACGCACTCAGCTTGCATTGAAACCACGCAGCACATGGTAACAACAGACATCAACAGACATTAGCCGCTAGCCACGTGCGAAGGCCTCTATCTCACAACCAGCAGACATGGCTTCCTGCAGTGGGAGATGGTGGGGCGACACTTGGCTGCGCCAGACCGCTGCATCCCCGCGTAGGAGGGTGACTGTAGATGACTGCAGCCCGCTGTTTCCTGCCGCATGCAGGTGAGTACTGTGGCAGATCTTGATCGTTGCTTGGAGTTTCGCTCTGTTGCCATGGATATTCTTTTCAAGCTGACAGCTCGTGCCGATGAAACTCGCATCCCTCTTGAGAAGCTGATCCGGGACGGCGAGAAGATCTGTGAGCATTTGGATAGGCAGCAACAAATCCCGCGCCATCGCCTGTGGCCTGCTAAGCGTGCGAAATCTCGAGGATCCGACGCAGCAGTGTTGCGCTATTTGGACTTGTTGTGCCACCTGCGTAGCGTACACTGCTTTTGTCAACTTAGCAACCAGCACTTTCATCACTCAGTGGAGCTGCTCGCAGCTTCGCCCGTCACACGGGCGGACATGGAAGCGTTGCTAGCAAAAGCCCTGGCGCCAGAGACCGAGGCTTTGCGCCAACCTGAGCCGCATGTCAAGCGCATGGGCGACGAAACAGGATTGGATCCACTCGACGAGTACATGGCTGCAATAGACATGGCTGCCAAGGAAGCCATTTGTTCTGCAGCGTCGCAAAAAGTATCAGACACAGGAAACGCAGAAACTGGGTTGCGCCAAGATCCCTCAACTGCAAACCAAGCGTCTGCGGAGCGGCGGCCGAGTGGGCCGAGTGAGACACTTCATCGAACTGCAGAAGCAGCTGGAGCCGAAGGGCGAGTGGCTGAGTCTGCAGGGAAAGCAGCGGCGGGGAAGGCCGATGCATGCTTGGGCTGGAGGGATGTCGGCAGGCAGACTAACAGTGATGAGGGCACCGTGCAGTTTAGGTTAACATTCCCCTTCGCCGCAATGCGTCAGAAACACCAGTTGCCAGATTGAGTTCACTGAGTGTTGGAATCCGAGTTGATGATCTCCACCCAGTGAACAGTGCGCCACTGAAGCGCTGAGCGAATCTGTGAGCGACACCAACGAGCCAGCTAAGCGATGTTAGTCAACACCATCGAATCATGTGGAACGGGCCGATAGCCTGGCTAAGGTATCCCAGTGATCGCGTGACTCAAGACCTGGTGGCTTTTCGGATCCTCACTTTCAGTTCAACTCTCCAGCAGAGGGTTGTCATCACTAAGCTGACAACCTACACAGACCCCGCAGACGAACGGCATCTCAGGACATCAGTGCATCCAGAACAATATGGTAAACTCAGCATATGCGATTCCTTGGCGCGTGCCCCCTACGCGAAGCAGTGCTGCCGGAAACTGGAACACGACGGCAAAGAAGAGAAGCAAGCAGAATGTTGAGCGGGTAGATGAAAGGGGTACCACGGTTCCGTGCTTGCACCGCTCCATTTTCATGCGTCGATCATAAAGGCAATGTCGTGAAGCAGAGCGTCGTGATGCGACATCCCTTTACTTTGTTGTTCGACGTACGGTTGCCGCAAGAACAGCGAAGGTGAGAAAGCTACTGAATTCATTTATATAGTTCCTAGCATCGGCGTCAGAAATTGCACACTGACCACATCAAGGAGGACAGGCAACACCTCAAAACGCAAAGCAAGTCCCCATGTATCTTCGAAGTTTTGCAGGACGGTTTTCTGTGCAGTATGACAGGCTGCAGCCCAACGATGCCTCCAGAATCATCTGTTGGGCGACCTGCTTTCGGATGCTACAGCCTTAGTCAGCCTTAGTCTTGCTTGCCTCAGCTCGCTTGCACCATCGGCTTCGGTTGCCTGGCGACCTCTAATCTAGCCTGCTGTCTTCCACAGCTTGAAACGCAAGGGCCTCGGAATTTTGTACGAAAGTGATCCAAACCTGAACGATGCTGAACGACGGGGCTGCTAATGTCGGTTGAAGTTCGGTTGCTGATGACAAGGGCTCGAACGAGAAGGTTCAGACGAAGTTGCACTTTGTCAGAGCTTCCCCTACTGAAGGTGCTGGGTCGGTGGCGTGCTCACCTGTGTAGTAGAAAGCCACTGAGGAGTCCGAGCTCGAAGCAGACTGACTGACTCCAACGCTAGACACGGCAGCCGGCATGACGTGGAATTGCAAAAAAGCGATTCGACATTTTGCTGCTGTCATGCTGCTGGGATACAACGAAATCTTGCCGGTGCCGCAGCAACGACATGCCCCTTTGCTCAGCTTGCTATCCCGGCATGTAGCCATACCTCAATACATCCAAAGGGTTCTGGCATGATGCGAGATAGTGTGTTGGAACGACTGAAGCCGCTTCGTGCAATGGGCAACATCATCGACAACAACCTTTGTTGCGCTCGCTCCGCGAAGGTCAAGGCAAGGTACGACGTACGTTGATTCTACTCGCCCGGCTCATCCGTAGCTGCTTTTGCAGGTGGAACTGGACCGATTCAAGAACCGCCTGGAAGCTTGCAACAAGAAGCTGGATGCTTTGGTGCAGGCACGGCGAAGCGGAGGGGCAGGACAGTCAAATCAAATTCTTGTTGGTACCTGGTCAAGGAGGAAATCAATGACATTTTTGGACAAGTTGATGTAGACGGCAGCCAAGCTCTTGACCTCAAAGAGGCCAAGGCTTTGGTAGGCCAGGCTTCGACTCGTGCGAAGAGTGTCCGAGAGTGCATGACACACCTACGTAAGCAGATGCGGTCACACAGCATGACGAGGCAAGTTGGAGGAAAGCGGCTTCTTGGATATATCCAAAGTCCGAAGCCCTGCATTAGGATAATGAAGTTGTTTTCCAGCCGTGAACATCATCAAATATCATGACTAGCCTGACCCAGACTCCAGGTTGTTTTTGGCTCGGTAGTCAACCACTTAGCCGGAACATGATAGGTTTGCGAATGTCTCAGGCTTCGAATTCCCTTCAGACGTCAGCACCTTCGACCAGGATGGCGACGGCAACATAAGCAGAACAGAGGCAGCTCGTCAGAGCAAGCAAGAATGTAGCTTATAATACCTGGGCTCTGTCTTATGCGAGCATGCTTTTCGAATTGCGAACCTGGTGCAGGTCTCGAATGCTGTGCGTGCAGCACTGCGCGAGCGTCCCAAGCTTCTGGGATGAAGGATGGCGTGTAGCAAATGCAGTGTAGTTTACAAAGTGTACCGTCGCGGGAAAATCCCCTGTCATGAATGCAACATCACGTGCAAGGATGCTACTCGTAGAATTGGCTGAGGAATTTGGAGCTCTTGAGCAGCAAGTGTGAAGATGTGGATCTCTTGAGCAGAGATGCATGGGACTTGACACTTGGTCGTTGCAAAGCATATGCGCAGACAAGTCTTTTATTCCATCGCGCCTGGAGCTACGCATCAACGCTTGCAAGGATTGATGTCACGAAAGAGCCTTATCTGCAAATACATATGTTCGCCCGAGCATGGCCGCAGGGCCCAGGCAATCGAGTGATGAAGAGACTGCCTGCGTCTGGCATATGAAAAAGGTTTGCACCGAGCCGAACACCCTTACCAATGCAACTGCCTTGGGAATGGCGTTGCTGAACACTGTCATCATTCGTATATGTCCCCTGCTGGAACTGGGGCACCTCGCAGCGCAAGCCCTCGCAAGTTTTGACGGGCCTTGCACAGCCCTGGGTCTTGGTGGTGCCGCTCTGAAAATTCAACTGTAGATCTTTCGAGAAGGACCCTACTTCGATGGGCACGAAGTCATTTTGGACCTTCCGGCAGCAGGCCGCGTGTTGTTCGTAGTACTTCGTCCGTGCCCAGGATGGATACATTAGCATCCCAGAGCTGTCCATGTTCTACGGAGATCTCGGGAAGGCCACGGTTTCAAGTTGGGCTTCAGATTTCGAACCACGCGGATGGTGCGACTGCTCGCTGCCGGCTTTGCATCAGTCAGCATCAGACCGGTCTTGCCTTTCCCTGCAGGTCATGGACGAGAAACCCCCGACATATCAGGACAACATGACATGCATGTTTCGGCGGGGGCTAACGAGTCCACAACGGTTGCATCCTGGAGCAAGACTTCCACTTCCTTGAAGTCGAACTCAGCCAGAACGTGTTCCTGTGTAGCTTGCATGCTGCTTCCGTTTTGCAGGTCCTCCGTTTCGTGTGTGCGTTAGTTAGTGAAGGATTTTACACAGTGTGCTTGCAGCAGGAAATCCGGGGTTGGCATGTTCTATATATGTGTACATGTGCACACACACACACACACACATATATATATATATAAACACATCACGGATGAGTAGCCAGTTGCTGCTACTGCTGTCGTCGCGCTTGTGTACACCCTTCTTTACATACGTTTTGGAAGGGAAGTTTGCTAGTCTTTACCTCGCGGCTCTTGGCAGGGCGAGAGGGAAACAATTATGAATATGAGGCTGACGCCTTTCGGGTCTATTTAGCTAGTGCTTTATGTTATCTATATTTGTACTACTATTAGCCTAGTTAAATACTATATTCATGATATACAATATATATCAATCTATTCATATATGAGACATAATATGAGCCCGATGCCTTTCGAAAGTTATTTCGTCTATTCAACTAGTTTTGATCGGCTACAACGCTTCTGATATGCTATGTGTGACTGCTGCTTTGCAACATGCCTTCCCAGATGCATGTACAATGCATATAAGAGTAGAAACGCACATACAGTTGCAATACATAACATGTTGGATAGGCAAGTCGATGACGTGTGGCATCATGTTGTCTATGATGTCGCCCAGCCTCGGCTGCTGAACAATATAGTCATAGATTAGATGATGCAGACAACCAAGAAAAGATACACTTTGCACGAACTGTTCCCACTCGCACACGTGGACTACTGTCCGTCTCATGTGCCACAAGCATGCATCCATGGTTGCTGTTCGAGATTCCAGTTTAGCTACGAAGACCTTACTGCAAGTGTGAGCCTGTAGAGGAGAAAAGACACCTGTTAATCGTTATATCTGCCGGTCCAGTTGGTGCTATAGTAAACACCTTCCAATCAAGCATAAACGTTAAAACTAATGCAAGCCATGTGCTGACAGTACTGTCGACCTACGCTAACGAGTGTTGTTTATGCTCCCGGGGATCCCGGCGTAAGCCTCAAAGATACCGTCCTTGTCGTGATCATGAACGAGTTTAGCTACTGCCTTCCATACGAATGACGACGAATACGGAGTTCCCGACTGCCATGAAGGCGTGCCTTACACATTGAAAGACTTAGAGAGATCAGTGCAATAACATGCACCCACAATGCAGTCAAGCAGCGGCATATGAGCCATAACTGTGTGAAGATCAACAAAAAGTGCAATTCATTTGTCGTTCTCCTCGTTCACGTGCTGCGTGATGACTCATTACTCGCAAACTGGGCACGCTCGGCCTTTCTCCTTTCATCGAGAGATTGGTACTGTAGTTCTTGCGCTGTTTCCTGTTGCTGTAGGTTTGAGGCAGCTCGTCTTTGGCAGACTTGTTTTATATAATGGTATTGCAGGCGACCTCGTCGCGTGCTGTCGCAATCATAACCTTTCTGCTGGAGATTGCTGGCTGGTTGACTGATCTATGTTATGTTTTTAATGAAAAAGGACATGCGATTGTTTGCTCGTCCGCTTCGAACGACAGGAGCTACTCGAGCTTGCTAAGAAGTGCACCAGAAAGTGATGTTGACCTCAGCGTTGTTGCAGTCCCGGCTCTGGCGCAACGCAGGTACGACACGGACAGCGACAGCGTGCTGACGTACGAAGAGTTTGAGCTGTTTTTTGTCGACTACCTCTGCCGGACTGGCTGTTGAAATCGTTGCGTCTAGCTGATGGCTTAGCTTCAGGGCCTCCTGACAGTCCCTTTTCTCCGGGACTCGTCGCAACTCCCAACAGGTTCTCACTCCGTCAACATCCGTCAACCATACGACTGTAGCAGCACCAACGTATCCCAGCAGCGCGCTCTTCGGAACATCCCACGTGAGTGTAGCAGAAGCTATATCAGGAAATCCCTAATTGGAGTATGCTTGAGTTCCGCTACTACTACGACGACGACTATTACTTCTACTGTTGTTATTACTAAATATTACTGCTGCTACTACTCCTACTACTACCACCACTATTGCTGCTACTACTACTACTACTACTACTACTACTTCTACTACTACTCTTTTGGCTCAAGTTTTCGGCCCAAAAACTCGGTTGTATGCGGTGTCGAACTTGCGAAAAAACCTGCGCTTTCCCGTCCGGAAAAGCCTCTCCCCGAAGTAGCTACTTGGGACATATCCCCTGTTAGTGACATACACGCCTGAACCCCCTTGGTGGCTTCCCGAAGTCGGTCTGACTGTCCTACTGCTGACTCTCTTGCCTACCTGCGCCTACCCTTTGCTGTGGTGCCCTGCTGTCTTTCCTTCCTTGCACCTGCACTGCCTGCACTGCCTTGCCTGCACTCGTACTGCCTAATTCGTAATTCGTGACCGTGACCGTGGGGTGAGAGAGGGGATGTCGGATGAGGCAGAGACCTTGCTCATGCCAGGGGCTGTTGGCTACCGAGGGCCTAGCGCCGCGAGAGAGAGAGATCGAACAACAGGGGGGGAGGCCTTGTTTGAAAGAACCACTGAAGGGACGGTTATGGACTTGGATGCTGACGGGGAAGAGGAGTTGGGGTGCGACGATGATCAAAGTACGGTCCCAGGGTCGCCTAGAGCCGCTGATCAGGACGTCGTGCCTGGGACTGAGGAAGCACCGAGGCCAAAGAACGTCCAGATCTGCTTCGGCATGTGGGGTCCTCCAGAGCTGGCGCACCCTGACGGAATCGTCCCCAACAACCTCAACCACCTAAAAAACAAAAACACCACAGTTAAAGAGCCCCCCATAGTGCATCTTGGGGTAGGAGAAGCTAGAGGCAGTGAGGTGATCGATCCGGAGCCAACTGTACCGGGACCAGGAACGCCGGAGCTAGGAGACCGACACAGTCCTGCGAGCCCGCCTCTGGAGCCTGAAGTCCCTGTCCCAAACCGTGTACCAGTCTTCGACCTGTCCCAAGATGATGAAACAGATCACCGCGAGTCCCCACCCACGCCTGCACCAAAAATCAGTATTACTGCCTCTACTAATG